TCAGTAACACAAAAAGGGGTCTTTAGCGATCAGCCATGTTCTGTGTAATTTTAATTAGATGGCATAAGATCATTTGAAAAAATAAATTTTCTGAAGTACTGTATGAGAGCGGCACGACATTTCTGAGCATTTAGGAGCCGGGTGTCGTATAGAATTTGCTCACCTCAGCTCAGCCACCTGAGAACCACGATAATTTGTGATATCTTGTTTGAGTCATAAATTAGAACAAAGATTCTAAATTATGAGAGGGCCATTTTGTGGCATTTATGTCATATCAAGGAGGTATTTTTATACCTCCTTGGTCATATTCTAAAAATGTGTTCACCTCAGCCGGGCACCAACAAAAGTGGGTGTACTGTCCATACATACCAATTCCTAGTCCCAAAATACATAATGGCCTACGGTTGGCACAAAAGCAATCAAACCTAATTTGGTAATACAGTTTTAATATTTTAATTTTTACCGATATGTACATAGACCTATATTACTTTTGAGCAATCCTGTAAGGTATCAACTGAGGTTTGTGTTGGCATAGTTTGTGTTTGTGTTGCCCCCTCGGCAAAAGAAATACAACACTACACATTTCCTGATAACCGAATCCCATGTGGATACTTATTAATACGTATAGGGCATAGACACACGCTACCGCTGGGAGCCTATTTTTACGTTTTTACGTAAAAATGGTTAAAAACCTATAGGTTCTAATTGCCGTTTCAGCCTCATACTACTCGCGCGGGTCATTTCTCCTTAATATGTATACAGCAGGTCTATGTCAGAAGTATCTTTTATAGCCATATAGTCTAAAATTCATTTGTGGATTAGATGAGTTACACATATTTCGTCATCAATACACTTTACTTTTTAGGCATCAATTGGCAATCTAGTGGATGTCACAGGAAGATGATCCCTACAAAAAGAATTTTGCCAGTGGCGAATTCAAGTGAGGGGCAAGCCGGTCCGGGCCCCCTAAATTGTTCAAGATCATAAGAAAAGAATTGAGGAAGGAAAAAACATTATAATTCAAATTCAAGTTTAAAGGTCCCGGACCATTTTAATTCTGAACTTGATTCTTTCTCTGGTTTTGTATTTAATTCTTCCGTTTGTGTGTACTTAGCGTATATAAAGACGATTTCGTATTATTGAATACGGTACGGTACGCTTTAGAATATATCGCCATTGTCATTACCATTTCTGGTCGTCTAGAGGTCCATCCCTTGCCTCCCCCTCCCCTCTATTCCAAAATTCGCCACTGCTTAGACCTAATAAGGGTTTTGGCATGTTTTCATACAACGATGATATAACATTCTCTATAATTTTATTTTTATTGACTTAAGAATCAGTTACAGTATAATTAAAACTAATCTGGTTAATTGTCAAAACAAGATTTGACCACAAGTAACACTGCTGGTACTGGTATAGGCATTTATAATGCGCCTCTTCCTTGAGGTTATAAAGCGCAGTTATTTTCCCTGGTCAGACACAGGCCTATACGATGTTCACTCTAAGGATTTAAGTTTGATGTTAAGTTTATTGCTCAAAAGTTTTCAAATGAGTGATCTTTTTTTTTTTAATCTTTTGATCGTTTAATTTTTTTACAGTATTTATTTCTTTAAATTTAGGGACAGCTTTTCTCCTGTCTTTTTAAAGAATTTTAATGTTTGATCTTTTATTTTACTGTTCTGGACATCGAATCTGTCCGGTTGTTCTTAAAATTGTAATGCCTCGAGTTTTTTTTTTATTTTTTTTTATTTTTTGCCTTTCAATTTTATCTTTGGTTATACATCTTCTTGAATGTTGATGTTTTTTTGTCCTGAATTTTGATCTTTACATTCTTACTTTTTATATGTAATGACCACAGTGTTTTTTAACTGTGGGCTATCCCTGTATATAAACAACATCGCAACTTGTTCTTTCCCTGAACTTAGGTACTGGTAATTAAGAACCTTCACTTTGTCATCTTACTATATTTTCTTTCCTTGTCTGTTTTATCTGAATCTTGAGGTTGTTTTATACCAAATAAATTGAATTTAATTCAATATGATCGCTGTTATTGTTGTGATACAATGTAAACATAAAGTGTTCCCTTAATACAGTTAATACTAACCTTCGTATAATAATTTTCCTGTAGTGTACTATGCGGAGCTCTACTAATTGCTTAATACTGTAGTATTAATTTGATCATTTAGCACACTCAGAAAAAGTTCCTGTAGGCCTACCCATAGGCCTAAGTTATCCAATTGGCCGTAGTGTTAAAATATGTATTTCCCCTCGTTTCACGGAAAAGTTTCTCTTAATGAATAGGGGTGCCTCAAAGGGGGGGGTTTGTATATACAAATTAATAAATTTAAATAATTACGGTATTGCATTTAATTTTTTTTTTTTTTTTTTTTTTTTTTTTTTTTTTTTTTTTTTGGCTCATATATTTGTAATAACTATATTTGTCTCAGCTCATGAGACAGTGAACCGATCCGCTGCTGTACTGTACTAAACTTATTAGTGCTACACCGGTCATGTAATTATAGTCCGGCGTTGTTATAGGAACAGCAACAAACAATACACTATCGGTCTAGTTGCGTTGTCAGTCAAAATGCAATTGGCCAACACAAACAATTTAGTGCTAGTTTAGCCAATCGGATTATTCGATTCGTTTGTCCTGAACTGCTTAGCAACGACTCACGCGAATTGTATTTACATTGATCGAACTGCATTCGGTTTTCCATTCAAAGAGAAGGTGTTTCATTTGCATGACGTTTTAAAATTCTTAATTAAAGAAGTAGTAATATGTAAGTATTGCATACATTGTCATAATAGACTGCTTAATGTTTTCTTTAATCAATTCCGTAGATTTTATAAAGGTAAGACCTCGGCTAGGCCTAGTCTAGGCCTGAGTGAGCTAGCCTGGCCCAGTACTACTAGGCCTAGGCCTCTCCTAGGCCTAGGGGGCCTAGGCCTAGTAGTAGTAAGGCAATATGCCTCTAGGACTCGAGTACTACCAGCAAGATGGGCCTACTACTATTCCCTAAACTACTATTTTACTCTAGCCTAGGCTTCCTACTAGAGGGCTAGGTTCAGACCTTTTCATCAATTAACATTTATACTGATTTGCAATGCCACTACTAGGCCTACCCCTAGGCCTATTATTATTGCCCAGACTAAAAATTAATACCTGCGTGCGAGATCTCTAATTTGTCATTTTTCAATTGTAAAAAATCATTTATTGGTTTTGACTACAATAGTAGTTGACAAGCTTCAACTGTGCAAAACAAAAGGAGGACCCTAGAGGGAAAAAAATATGTTAGCTGACCTTATATTTTACTTTAACGTTCCTTGTTTTTGTTTTATATTTTAGTATTAGCTAACCTAACCTTCTAATTACTTATCTTCTCTTTCACTTTCATTCTATGCTTCCTTAATTTTCCGTGATTCCTATTTACCTACCTTTTCATTCTTTCGTCTTCCTTTTCCTTTTAATTACCTTTTCTTTCCTTTCCGCTTTCTTTCTAATGCCTCCTTATGCATTATTTCTTTAGCTTTAGATTACCTTTGTAATATTTCCTTATCTTTCTTCTTTTTCTTTGTTTCCTATGTATCCTTGATATCCTTTACTACCCTAGTTAGGTAGGACCTGGGCTATTCAATGCTTACTTTATAAAACTTCCTTTTATTCTGAATATTTTTATAATTACAGATCAACACAATGTCCATTTCAACAAATGTTGCCAGCAAACCTGTTACCCATTTCGCCCCATCAGATTGGCACACAAGCAACCATCTAATCTCAACAAATGCTGTAAAACTACGGGACAATTCACACAGCCAGCGCCAGCAGGCCAGACAGCTAAGAAATGAGACCGATAACCGCACAGCATGGGGTATTCATGACAACACAACAAGGCTTTCAAATAGAATAGATGATATAGAAAATTGGCGGCAGACACTGGAGAGAACTTTGAGAGACATCGATGAAGAGATCTCAAAATTAACGGCTGACAAGGATCTTGCAGAGAAAGCATTGGAGGCCAAAGCTCTACCATTAGACGTAGCCATCGAATGCCTCACATACAGAGATGGACGTAGGGGCATTGATGTAGTGGATGACAAGGCTAACTCTGAGCTTGAAAAGGTTTGAATTTTTTAGTTTTAAATTGTCATTCCTATTATAGTGTTCACAATCTGTATGTTTGTATTGTATTTTATTAGCATATATTTATCCTGCTATGTAACTACTACTTTCTATTCCGTGATTGACTGTAATGCATTCTTATTTAAAACTACATCATCAAGCTTTTAATTGAGAACCTTAAACAGGAACGTAGAGCGGAATCAACCATATGTGACCATCGTCATCTACGTTCTACATTGTACTATTTTTTATGATGTATACACGGATATATAATTTAATTTTTGGCCTATTAGCGCACACACTGCCACAATAAAAATGGAATATTATGAAAGTCCTGTTTACTTTTATTATGCCTGTCACTGCCTTGAATTGCTAATATCAACCAGCCAGTTCCCTCAGTTATCCATCATTGCTCTATTTTTTTTTTTTTTTGCATCGCAGTTCTACTCATTAAGCTACTAGGGACATAAGCATTATTTTACTTGTTCATATCACAGAATTTGATCATTCGAAATGCCCAGAAATGATTGCTTCATTGGTTTCTTTTCCCAAATCATCTGCTTTGCAACAGTGGCTATCTTTCAGCTACATTTAATATGAAAATGTTGATTGAGCAGCATAAGTTTGGAAGTCAAATTATAGAAAATACTTAACCTGTCAGCTCATGCAGAATATTGGCCTAATAAATTACTTTAAAAAAATGTGAATTAAAAAGTTTGTCTAAGTAGATTATTACTTATTATTGAAATTTTAAAAAATGTGAATTAAAAAGTTTGTCTAAGTAGATTATTACTCATTATTGAAATTTATAAAGCAGAGAACAGCTTAAAATAATGATGATGACATCTCAAACTCAGATCCATCTTTTTGTAATAATAGGGATGACACTTCCAGGTAATCAAGAAAGATGATATTCATGGGCCATCTTAAATTCATCTATTATTGTGCTTTTAAAAAAAAAACAAGTAGGCCCTATATGAAGTGGGGATGTTTTTAATGTGGAAAACATTTTTTGACATGCTACCATCTAACCACCAAGTTACAACAACACTACTTAAAATTACATTATTTTCTTGTTAAAGACCTGTTGTAAGTTTCTTCTGTTAAGTTGAATTAATTTTTGTTGATGTCCCAGCTACTGTACATTATCCTTTGAATTAGCAAACCATTATCATTTAAAGTAATTGTTGATTGTCCCTAGGCTAATGTATCATTCATAATTGCCATAATGAATATTCTATTCTATAATCTACCTTAATGTAGATGGCTAGGTATTAAACTGGATGATTAAAAATGATTACATACTTCTATGAATTTTAACTGAGCATAAATAGTTTTATAATGGGAAAAGGTAATTGAGTCTTAGAATGTGTACTGACTTTTTATGTAACAAAAAATATAGAGAGATTTAGTGTGACAGAAAACCATTTATCAGCATCATTATGATTCACTGAGGTATTCTCATACCAATAAATATTTTCGTCTGCTGCTGTGTAGGAAGTGGAAGTGATAGATGGCATCAAAGAACAATTGCAGGCAAAAATCAGTGGAGCCTTTGAACAGTTGTGCTTGTTACAGGAGGCCAGGCAGCAACTAGCTGCAGATCTACGTGACAAGTCAGAGGCAAAGAAGATTGACACATACTGCCATGATCTGTCAATCGACTCGCCAGACATCTGCTACCAACCGAACTCAACACGCACACCTAAAGGGTATGTCAACTCTTGGTGGCTCACTCAGTTTATAGTTTATAGTTGGTGTGTGATTTCATATTACAATATTTGCTCAAAGCACCCTCCAGGATAAATGTCAATGAAAACATTGCAGCATCGTACTGTAGCCGTCTGTTATTACAGTATAACTAATGAATGTCGCAAGACTTCTATTATTTCTTCTCCAGCTTTTTTCTTCTTTTTTTGTATTCCTGTTTATATTTGTGATTTAATTTTTATGTGGCTTCAGTAATGAAAGTGGTTTAAGGGGTGCGTTAATTATGAAGGTTTAGGCTACTGTCAGTGTATGTATGTATGTAAAGGCCTGTTTACACTATGATGATAACAGTACAATAAAAAGCTAAAAATTTGTTTATAGAAAATAACAAAAATAAGAGAAGTTTTCACACTAGCACGATTCGATTACAATATATGTATACGATAAAAAAATAGTTTCACAAATCAAATCAATGGCGCCATAATCGTGAGAAAACGTTGAAATCGTTTTTACTACTATGATTATATCGTTTTCCCATGATTATGACATCATTTGATTTGATTTGTTATTTTATTAAATTTGATTTGTTATTTTATTAAACTTGTTAAAATTATTTTTTTTATTGTACTACACACAATAAATCATTATCGTATTGTGCTAGTGTGAAAAACTTCTTCTTTCTATGAACAATTGCTTTTTAGCTTTTTATCATTGATCGTTATCGTCATAGTGTAAACAGGCCTAAAGCTACGTTCATATCAAGCCCGGATCCAGTCCGGAGCATGGACAAAAAATCCTGAGTTGCTACGTTTTTTGAACGCTGCGTGTTAAGTACGCATGCGTTTGATTGGTTCGAACCAACCAAGCTTGTTGCTGATTGGTCCAGAAAAAAAACGTACAATTTCAGGAAATGCCTGTCAGATCCATCGGTCCAGATCCGGAGTCCAGATTAGTAATCATACGAATTTGATGTGAACGGTCCTATTCTTTACCACTGAACTCATTTTTCACGAATTTTTTCTCCGGACCGGAATCCAGGCAGGATGTGAACGTAGCTTTAAGGTGTGTTCCTAATACTTTCACACAGCACAAAATGTTACACAGTATGGTTGTGGTTAAGTACAGGTACCTAGACTTGAGTTTAGGTAAAGAAAAATTCCATACACTACTATAGGAAGAACAATTGTTTAATAGATTTCCTCAATGTTTTTGTGACCTTCATAGAGCATTTGCAGTGAAACGTTAAATAACATTATTCAATGTTTACTTAGAACCATATCCTTAAGACAAAGTGTACCGGGAATTATATTATTTGAATAGTTACCTCACAAATCAGTTTAGGAAATCAATATTGTTCTTTGCTGACTCATTAATTCTATTTTGAAGATCATCATGTGTATTGTATTGTGTTTTGTTAACTTACCTCTTCATACAATTATGGTTCTTCATCAACAGGCATCTTCAGCGCTTTGAGGCCATTTTTGGCATTAGGCACTTTTTTAATTTATTATTATTGTCAGTCCATAAAATATGAATTTGGTTAATATTATTGTTATAGATTAATAAGTATTTATGTAGTTCAATAAAATCTTATTAGTGTTATTGTTTTCATGATAATCCTAGTTATTGGTATTACATCAGTTAATATTTTGTTATCCTTATTATATTTTGTGCCTGATGTAATTACTGGCTTCGTTTTGTTCATTGTAAATAAACTTTCATGTGATTTTACTTTATAGGAGTGTAACGCCACAAACATGGGAGGATTTCAGTCGATATAACAAGCAACGTGCGGATGCAGAGATGACTGCCTCAAACAGGCTACGTGAAGCCATTCACAGTACAATCGCACAGACAGATAATGACCTTGAGGCTCAGCGAGAGGCTACAGAGTTTGCCCTACGTAAACGAATCCATGAAATGAAGCAAGCTAAGGATGAGGATGAATGGCAGAAAAAGAATGTAAGTACATAGAAAAGAAATAAGTAAAGCTCCGTGTTTTGCACCTTTGTTCACAGTATTTGAATTATTATTATTATTATTATTAATATTATCATTCTTATTATTATTGTTATTTTAATTATTTTTATTATTATCCGTCTAGTTGTCTGCCGATAGGCAGGTCTGTGACTCCCACCTCCTCCATTCAGTTCTATCCTCTGCCCCTCACTTCAACTCCAAAGTGATATTTCTTCTCCCATGGCTGCTAATACCTCCTCATTGGTCTTTCTATCTTTCAAACTAACTTTCTCCATTCTTCTCCAAATCCACATTTCAAAGGCTTCTAGTCTTCTAATATCATCCTTCAGCAACGTCCATGTCTCATTATTATTATCATCGTTTATATTATTATTATTATTATTATATTATTATTATTGTTATTTTTATTATTATTATTATTATTATTATTATTATTATTATTATTATTATTATTATTATTATTGCTTTAGAACTGTTTCATCAATAGTAAACCAAACACAATGGATGTAAACTTAATGCGAGCGTTCATGTTAAATATTGTCATTATTATTGTTATTTAATAAATGTTTGGGTGATAAACTATACATAAATTTATGATTCTTTCATAAATGATATGAACAGCAAGCTTTTCAATTATACAGTAAAGTGATTTTAAGAAATCCTTTAAATATGGAAAATTTTAACAAGACAGAAACAGCAAGCTAAAACAGGGTGTATGCAAAAAACACCTGTACAAACATCAATAGACACAGTGATGTGTAGTTCTAATGTTACAGTATAAGACTAATATTGCAGAAATTAAATGTATATTTATATTTATAAGGTAATATACATCGATTTTTGCATCAAAACTTTTTATTACCAATAAAGTTTAATCAAAACTTCAATTTCAGTTCAACTAAGTTTGACTACAATTAATAAGTTTAAAAAAAACTATCTTTAAAATAACAAAACATTCAGATTTTTTTTTCTTTTGTAATTATTGTCAAAACATTTCTTCTACTGGAGTTCGAAATCGAACTGGAATCGAATGATAAGCGTCTGTTTTGGAATATTAAGTAAAAACTTCAATAAACGTAATTCATCATTTGATTTGCTTTCTCTATCAATCAGTTAATAACTTCCATAGTGCATAATAAATGGTCTCTATGCGCTGTAAGTAAAATAATAATCAAATCTATTTTTAGTATATGTCAACTAACCAAGGATACTAAAAAATGGACTAATCTGAGATTTTTCACACTTTAAAACCTGTTATTTACAGATCTCAATAGAAGTTACTTGAATCTATTATTTTATTACTTTCTTTTCAATACAATAAAGCATACAATTCGTATAACAACAGAACAGCTTGCAGATGAGTTAGTCAGGTGGTATCTCTATCAATTTGGCCAACAAAAAAAAATTCTTGTGTTGGCCACATTTTGGGTAAATCCCCCAAAAAAGTTTTTTTTTTTGTTTAAGCAATAATGTGTTTATGCCTAAAAAATAGAAAATACACAGAAATACAGCAAAGACCATTTTAAAATCTATATTGAAGAGCAAATCGATTGCATAACGCCGTCACAACGCTTACCATCGCAAGATAGGCCCAATCTAGCCTTTTTGGTCATTAAAAAATTTTTTAAAAATAAAAGAACTAAAATGCTTACCCTTAATTTCGAACATTTAGGGTCGGTCGGGCGTGGCCGACACAATAATTTTTTTTATTTGTCCTTATTGATGTGAAATAAGTACAATTTTTGGTATTCTGATAGGTTATTTTATCCAGATTTACCACAGACATGATTTGATTGATTGTGAACTTTTAGGTGCAGGGTTTCAAGGACACCGACTATTCATCAGAAACTTCCAATACAATAATATAACACACTGCAGATAAATCAGTACAGTGGTGGTTTATACTTCAACGATAACGATAACGATAAAAAACCTAAAAAGCAATAGTTCATATAGAAAATAAAAGAAATAAGAGAAGTTTTTACACTAGAACGATTCGATAACGATTTATCAGTTATGTGATAATAACATATTTTGACAAATCAAATCAGATGACGTCATAATCATGGAAAAACATTGAAATCGTCGTAGTAGCAAAGATTTTATCGTTTGTCCATGATTATGACGTCATCTGATTTGATTTGTTAAAATAATTTGTTATTGCATACACGATAAATCGTTATATAATCGTCCTAGTGTAAAAACTTCTTATTTCTTTTGTTTTCTATATGAACAATCGCTTTTCAGCATTTATATCGTTATCGTTGAAGTGTAAACAGGCATTTAACCTCCACTTAAGTAAGGACTACAGTTGCCATTCCAAAAGCTCTGGTTCTATTTTTGCATGTTTACTTTACGCTTACATTTTTGCTTTTGACGAGAGAACATAAATGAAATTTAGAATTAAAGGTCAAAATGTAGATCAGAAAGCCAAGCTTGTTTTTTTTTTTTTTTTTTTTTCGGAAATGTTGCATTGAATGCAAATAATAGGTTTAGTAGGTGAACTACAAAGGCTTGGTAAATAAAGCTTGCTTTTTAATTGAAAAGTTTGATTAGAATTGAAAACTGAATAGAGCAACAGAAATGATCATGGACCCTAAGGCCTATATGTATAGAATTTGTAAAGGAAATCCAACCGCGAGGGCAGATGGTGATGAAAGAACAGTACTATTACCATAAGACATTTGTATTTTTAATTTGTACTTTATAGAAACCAAAATATTCAATGCTAATCTGTTGTTTATTGATCTTATATAATTATTTTTGTTTTAGTTGTATAAAGACATTGTTCCTTTGATATCACCAGTCAACATGAAGAAAATCTATTAAATTATCATACGCTGTTTAACGTATGGTCAGTACTTGCAAAAAAGTTGGTACAGACTTCCAACACAGAAATTTTGGCGTGTTTTACCAAGTAGCATTTTGTCCTGATGGTGTTGTATTCACACATAATCCAGTCCATTTATACAACACACATTCCTGATGATGACATAATTAATGTTGAAATATTGAATCCTGACATGATGGCGTGCATTTTGATATTTGGAGTATGTATTATACTATCTCATCTGAAATACTGTGTTGATTAATTCGTGTTGAGAGTGAAGTTATATTGGGCCCAAACTCTCCTCTCTTAATGCTGTAAATCTGATCTCACTTCCTTAATAGCTCTGACCTACCAGTACTTTGGAACAATTAATATCAATAAAAATCAACAAGCTAACTTTCATTAAAACCATACCTAGAATGTTTATGAGATAAATGGATGTAATTTGGAGTGAAACTAATACAGGGGCCTAGTTACACATGATGGATTGTTTCATGGGATAAACCATAATGTACAGTAGAGTACGGATATCCTCACACTACTGGTAGTTAGGGTCTAGACTAAAGCAATTTTTGTCCAATGTTCCTATGGTTATGTTCACACACACCAACTAACATTTTAAGCAGGATCCAATTAAATAGCATACGTGCTCACACTTGTTCATACAAGGAAACCCCCTGATCCAGATCAAGAAAGATGACGATGGGATAACTGGCCAATAGGAACTGGAAATTGGAAATGTGTATGTGTGATAAGTTGATAGAAACGCGCTCAACTTGCTAACCCGATAGTGCTCACTAACCATAGCGTATCCAGATCCTGGTAACACTGTTAACGGATCAGCGTTATCACATGGGTCCTGACAGTTATTGCTAAATGGAATAGCTCCCAATCTGTATACTAGGGCTCAAGTGTGAACCTGACCTATATTCTAGTTAAACTATAGTCAACTTAAGTTGCTACTCTACCAAGCACTCTTTGTTTTTTTTAAGACAAGATGCTCCAACATTCTGCTAGTCAAGATGATCAAGTGGGATACTTTCATTTTAAATTAGTAACTGAAAAAAAAGAACTGATTGGCAAAATTCAAGGAAAAACATGCAGTCAATTTTCATGACATTTAATTGTTTTACAAATGAAAGTCTGCTTACTCCATTTTGTTATTCAGCTGTGTACTTTCCCTAGCATTCATCTCATAATAAAAAAAACTCTTCAAATTGATAAAGGTATCACATATTTGTGCAAGCCAGCTGGTTGAAACTATAAATTACTGAATGTGAATACAGTATAATTAATTTTATTGTTATGGAAAGTAAATATTTTGCTGTTGATATTTAATATAATTTAAGAATTATTTTAAGCGCTTACAATACTGTATCCTACATTGTTATGGGATTGACTATTGTTAATATTTGTGCAAGTCAGTTTCATCCCAGAAAAATTGGTCAATACATGAGCTGAGCCAATATGTCAAAATGTTGTCACATCAGGTGGTATGGGTAGGGAGAATATTCATTGAAAAAAGACAGCTCTGGAACATACTGTAAAAGCCAACAACTTACTGATTACAGATAAGCCATGGTCATGCCATCCACCCTGGATATTAAAAGTGGTATTTTTTTAATCTATAGTCTTGTACTTAAAGTTACACAGAAAAAAACAAGTTTAGATATTTGTGGACGTTGATTTGATAACATTAGGAATGTTTTAGTGTAGTATGTTACACTCGCATTTTAAATTACCATACTGTACCTGTTTTACCAGTGTAAATGCCCTTTAACCAACATTTGTTTTTACGGTGAAGCTAAATTCAAGATTTTTCAGCAATTGGCAATATGAATAATTCATGTATCCACTTGTCCTACTTTTTGTTGATTGCAATCTTTAACCAGATCTTAGCCAAATGCATTTAATTGCTGAATTGCGTGGCTCATAACATTTTCATTACCATCAATTAGTTGCTTCCTCAGTTTGTATTTTGAATTCCCCTGCTTTTTATTTTATATAAATTAGAGTGAAGACTAAAGCTGTTTCTGTTTACTCCCAAAATGTGGCACAAGTCCTGAAATGGGTGGGGGTGGTGGGGTGCGATGATAAATAAAGTGGAAGGGCTTGATGATTAAGTAATGGGGTGCTAGCTGACAAAGTAAGATGATTCTTAACTACTTGAGTGTAAGTCTTTAGCTTTGAATATCTAGAGGTCTTAAAATGTGGAGGGGCTGTTGGGATGTGCGAATGTGAGGTGGAAAGGGCTCGATGATAAGTGATTGTAGCTCTAGCTAGTAATATGAGGTGACTTTTTTGCTTCGAAAATGTATGTGATGATTTTCAAATTCCTGAAAATGGCACTATCACCTCCCACCCCCTCCATCCCCTTTATCCAAGGACTTATAACTGTTACCAGGATAGGAAGCTGGCTGGTTTAAGAAGTCTAACTTAAATTAGCATTATGTGTGGTATTGTTATGCTAATGAGCCAGATAAACACAATCTGCACATGCTCAGAAAAACAAAACTTTCCTTTGCCATACTGTGGCCCACACTGCGTATCGGCTAGGCGTACAGCTAGGCCTGCCAAGGATTACGGTACGGTAAAACAAAAACAAAAAGGCGTATTAAAATAAAAAATGTTGGCGTTTGTGAGTAATACATTTTAATTTTATACAAGTAAGTAGTAAGTATGAATAATTTTAATGCACTAGTTAGTTGATAACTTCATTCTAATTTGTTTTGGATCTTTTTTCTGCATTTTTACAAGTGGTCAGACATGGCCTAGGCTAGCCTATGTGATGTTCATTGTAATACTACAAAACAAATCACATCAATTTAAAATCAAATTTGTGAACATAATTGCCTTATATCTTAATTAGCAGGTGATTTTATTGATAGATTAGTTTGTTTTTAAGTGTGTAAGTATGATTGATTTGCATGCCAAGTGAAATTATTACCCTTATTTTGCTTTATTTTTCCGTACTGTAGTTCTCGGCTAGGCCTAGCTGTACGCCAGGCCGATACGCAGTATGGGCCGCGTGTGGCTAAGGAAAGTTTTGTTTTTCAGAGCATGTGCAGATTGTGCTTATCTGGCTCATTAGCATAACGATACCAACATAAAGCTAATTCTAGTTAGAGCCAGCTTCCTATCCTGGTAACAGTTATAAGTCCTTGCTTTATCTGCCACAGTATACACATCCGTGATTATGCTTTCTCGGTTTGTAGGTTGGATTTATGCTATCCAGTAAAGTATGCTCAAATCAGTGAAATACATTAGAAGTCATATAGTGTATGTGCGCTGAATTTTAAATAACGTTATCTTTGTAGTAATGTTTATAAATTGCACATAATAAATCAGCGACTGACAGTAGAACTAATAAGTTAACTAAAAAGTATTTGAATTCATTACAGAAATTAAACTAAAGTAATCTGATAGTTAATGTTCTGTATTATGGCAGATTGCAGACAGTGAATAATGTTATTGGAATAAAGGTGTTAAGTTCTGAATAACTTGACTTCAATAGCACTAATGAATTTATACATAAGAAATATGAGAGATTGTTTGTAGTACAGAAAGAAATGAAATCACGACTCGCTTATTTCTATTCATTATTCAGATTGAGTTGTTTAGCTCTCTATTACAATAATATAAAGTATTTAACTTATCAATCAGCTAAACATGGCAGATCCATAATTTTTCTGTTTTAATATAATTAATTTACATACTGAATAAATACAGGTATGTTACAAAAAATAGAACAATAATGTAATTAAATTTCACTTCATGAATTTCACTAATTAAAAAAAAAAGTTAATCTAGCAGAAGTGACCACAGGATGAAGTAAACCATGATACAGTACTTCATTAAACTAAAAGCAGATTGCTATCATGGGGTATTAGATGGTCTTACAGCTTAGCTGGCTATAATTATGACATATATAGTGGTCTATAATTACAGTATAGACCATTGCTGTAGACGATCTAATCATTTAGCTAGCTGGCTATATTTAAAGCCTGCTTGAAACGATGCTGTAATTTGGTCCATGAGCTTTTAATGTGGATTTTTTTTTTAGGACAAACAGAATTGAAGACGGATATGTAAACTCTGTTTCCCTCTCCAGAAAAATAGAAACCAACTGTCAACACAACCTACATATTTTAAAATTACTATTATTTGCTGCAGAAGGCTATGCCTAGAATCTACATTTCTTCAATTATTAGTTTTGCAATGCGTATACTCTATGAATGTACAGTACATGACACAACGTTCAACGCATAACAGTTTTATTGATAATATGTGCATAAGTGATCAAGAACCACAGTTGCTATGGGGTGATTGTTTTTCAATATTCAATGCAGTCTTGGCTAGCACTGTTTTATAGCAATGGTCTTACATAAGTGATTATTTTAGGACTGTCTATGTGATTAACCTGGCTATAGTTGACCAGTTACGACTAGCTGTTTAAGACAATTCATTCTCATTATGAGTCTTATAAAGTGGACTTTTCTATCAATAGAAAAATTTAATTAGCTAATGAAAAATTTATTTATTTTTTTCTGCAAATGTAACAAGTCTACCAATCCTATGCAAATTAGTTAAATATAGATTCATGTATTATGTCTTATAATTTCATCTTTTTAAAAATTTTAATTAACAGGAAAGGAAATATTTGAAAACATGATTAATTATTAGATGAAAGGAACTTAGGTTTACTGTATTTTTCAAATGAATTATACTGTACCTTATAATAATTTATTGTATTAAGTATTATATAAATATAATAATTTATCACCTAAATTGCACTTCCGGCTGTAAAAGCACATAGAAGCAGATTTTTACAATGCGCAATATAAATTATTATTATTATTATTATTATTATTATTATTATTATATTATTGTTGTTATTATATAATTGGATTATTTAATATTTTCAAATATTTTTCTAATAATGTATTTATAATTTTTCTTACTTTTCTAGACGGAGGAAGAAATAAAAGAGATGGAAAATGATATCCGCAACCTAGAGCAGTCCATCCGTGACAAAGAAAATCCATTGAAGCTGGCAATGACCCGACTGGAGAACCGAACATATCGACCAAACGTAGAGCTCTGCCGAGACAATGCACAGTATGGTCTTGTGAACGAGGTCCATGAAATACAAGATAGTATAAAAGCATTAAAGAACAAACTTATGGATGCACAGTATGTTTAATGATTTTTTAAAATTTCATATATTATCACCAAAATGAATATACAATTTACCCGCCAATAATTCAAGATCATCTTTGGGACCTGAACGTTTTTGAGGTGATCTTCGGTTTGGTCTCCATTTGGGGGTTAGCTCTGCGTTGAAAGATTGAAGGTTGTTATTTGGTTCTTTGCAAAAGTGGTCGGAAATTAGAGGGGTTTCGGAATTAGAGTGGTCTTGAATTGGAGAGTGAACACTAAAAGTGGTAATGAAGCCGTGTTAGTCTAAACAATATACAAAGGAAATTAAAAGGCAGCACTCTGAGACTAACTTTGATGTTATTCATTTAACACAAGCTTTCACTGGCAGTCAATGCCAGTTTCATCAGGTGTGTCAGAGTGTTGCCTTTTAATTTTCTTTGTAGAGTGAACACTGTAAGCGATAAATTAGATAATCCTTTTTCATTAAATATTCAATTATAGATTTATTTTTTTCTAAATTGATTTTTAAAAATACAAAGATTAAATTCTGTAAATAATTCCTATTATTCAATATAAATTGCAATGTATTTATTTAATATTATAATTTAATATTAAAAGATGTAAATTAATAAAATAATTCTGATTAAATTTTTTTAAATGTTATTTTTTTTAATAAATTATTTAAAAATCATTCATATTTTATATATTTAAAATCAATGATATTTTAATGGAAGTTATGGCAATTTATATAAATGTAAGTGAAGTTAAATTTTATAGCTCAGTTGTTAAGATGCTTGCCTTCTAATCCAAGGGTCCTGGGATCGATTCCTGTGACAACAGTATTTTTCTCACTACTAAAACAACTCCACTCCCTAAGCCTCATTAAGAGACTTAGTTTAAATAGCATTGTTACATCCTGTAATTGGGAAGTTACTTGCTTTTGGATGCCAAAGAAATATAAAATTTATATATAAAATATTTAGGAAAATGTGTAATAAATTTATTTATCTAAAAATTGTGACTCATTTGAGGTGTGTAAATATTAATAATTAAAGTATACTCATGAACACAATCCCGGTATTAATTATCATCACAGAACAGGATTTGCTGGAGTATGTCTACTTACAGCCAAATGTAATTTACACATACAAACCAGAATATCTTTATCTTGTAAAATATTTGTGTTTAATAAGCACTTACAAATTAATTTGACTTGAATCTTTCAGCAATGCTCGTGATGCACTGGAGAAGCAGCTGTACCGCATCAACCAGGATCTAGAATTAAAGAACAACTCATTGGATCTAGATAATAAATGCATGCAAGACCGACAACGACTGACCTCTGCACCTGTCACGCAGTCCACCAAAAATCTTGCAACTTTCGCCACAGATAGAGCCCTATATACAGCAAAATCTTCCCTCTATGCTTAAGAAAAAAAAAAAATCACCAAAGACTTATTTATCTGATATAATCATGTTAGGTGTAGTAAGGCACTGATTAGAAGAAATTGTATAAAGAAATTGTCTACATGCAAGTTTTTATCACAATCAGATGTGTGATTTTGTGGTACAGTATGTATAAAAAAATAAAACATGATGAATTCTGTGAGGATCATATTTGATTGGTTTTATTAAGACATGCGGTCAACTTGTGTATTTTACGAGAATTTTAATTTTGCACAACACCATATACAGTGGCACCTGGCTGGCATAGTTATTACGTTAGATTTATAATGGTAATAATTCGAACGTAACCAGATAAATAGATTAACAAGCAATTAAACAGTTCTCAACAGGATTCTCATGTTTGCAAGACCAATGAAACAACAACCACTTGACCTTGAATATTGTATTGTTTTCAAGCTCATTTAGGCCAAGTAAAATAAAAGTAGTTTCTAGTCCTAATATATTAGAAAAAAGGTGAATGATGGCACAATTCATATCACATGAATGATCGAGAGAAGATTTTACTGATGAGGGATAGCCAGATTTTAGTACATTTCGTAAAATAAAGGAAATAAAAAGAAAAATTTAAAAAAAATTGGTAAGGCAGAGAAAATGGATGCGTGAATATGACAGGAACTATATTGTCAACGTTGTGCTAATACCTGGAAGAATGACATGAAATTAATATTTAAATTGCTAACTTTGTTATATTTAGGTTAGAGTAGGTTGCAGTTGAAAATTAGAAGAAAAAACAAATACTCAATTAACACATACATATACTATTCCTATTGGCCTATACTTCGCATATACCCTACATTTGGCTGGTATTTTTTTAGTAAAAGTTTTGTAAATCAGCAAGAATGTATTTGTTTCCATCTGTGTATAATTGGAGGCTTATTTTGACTCTTCGATGTTTTTTTTATGACACAGAAATTGATAAGAAACTAAATATTTAAATATAATTAACAAAATATCAATTCTGAGTGCTTAATGAGATGTACGTATAAACTACAATGCCATATTTAATGTAAATACAAATTGTTAAATTAATTCGTAATTATTGTCCGATTAAGTTGACAATTTTCCATATTTTGATATATGGTAATCAGTGTCAGGACAAGGAGGTATAAACTCCTTGGTCAGGGTACAAGAAGTAATTGTGATGTATTTGTAAAGTAGTTATTCTCAGAAGTCTATCAAATAAATTCCGAGTAAATAATATTGCTCTCGGAAATGCATTAGAGTGTTGCGGTTGAAATAAATGCCTTGTCCTTATGAAAATGTATTTTTTTAATATTTGTTATTTCAGCACGTCACTGGCATAATTGGCAATCCTTTCACAAGAAAAACACAAAGACAAGATGCTCTTTATAAACGAAGTCTTATTATCAGGCTTAGAGAGGAAGTGGAATTGTTTTGGTCGCGAGAAAACCCTCGGCTTAGGAAGGCAGGCATCTTAACCGGCACCAAGATGTAACTTCACTAAAATAGTTTGTCTTTACGAAGATTTTCAACCATTGTTATCATCGTTCGTAGTTCTCAATACTGTCTATGGAAAAACCAAGGAGGTATAAAATTATTTTTATACCTCCTTGGAAAAACTAACGTTGGCCTACATAGTGTTTTGGTTGTTCTCTGGTAAATACTCATTCATCACCGGCCCTCAAAATAAACATTCAGGATCCATCGCTTCACTGCCAACCATCAAGTGCTATTATTAGAGGACTGCGCTCTATATTTTACACTAGACGCAGTAACGACACGACGACACATATAGCGTCGTTTATATTCAACACCGAGCGCATTTTATCGTGTCATTATCGTGTCTAGAGTAAATGTAGGTTTAGCCTAAAAAATTCCTATCCCGAAACAACACAATGACACATCCATAAGTAGCTATAGCATGTTGGCATATTATAATGAAGTAACACAGACATGTAATAAAACATACAATATTTCGATGCGTCAGCACTCATCGTCAGGCAGCCTTACTACATTGTATATAGTTTCTATATTCATTTAACGATCTCATTTTTATTTATTTTTTTTTTCATTTTACATACACTTGACATTTAGAAATCATTTTAAAATTTGAGGTAATAAAAAAACAATAAAAATAAAAATGTGTCTCTTAAAAGTAGACATGATAATAAAATTATTCTAAACATTTTTTAAAAGTACTGCCGAAATGAAAAACACAAAAACAGATGACTGCCAAAAAAATCCTGTTAAAATGCTTAAGATGTTTTGAAAAAAAAAACACAAAAAAAAAAAAACTTACCGTACGTCAAAAAGAAGCTTATGCCTAAGTTCCTGTCCCTTGAGCGTGAAAATTGTTTGAAAACGGAAAACCTGTCAGTTATGCCAAACATGTGATTAAAATTAAGATTATCATTAGGGGCCTACCGAAAGTTAAGATTATCATTTTGCCTGTTAATTTTAACATAGCTAAAATATAATTTAAAATAACGAAATGATTAAGTAATCTATACGACCATCTGAGTAGGGAAGCATGAGGATGGATAAATGTCAAATACTGCGTAAAATCTGGAACAAGATTATCTTGACAGAAGGAATTAATGTAATAAAATGCATCCTTCGAATTAAAGTGGCCATAAAAAAATAGACGAGTTAATGAGATTTGTAGAGAATGACCGTGAGACAGGCTATTCCTGATTAATGAAGAGTTCTCTTTATGTGGAGTGGCCCAGTAAAACATAGGCTCACCCACGAACAGGGTAGCGCCAGGATTTTCCCGAGGGAAGGGGTCCGATGAGAGTAGTGGGAGCGGTCGGACACGTCCCACAAAATTTCTCGGAAGTTATCCAGAGGAGGACGAAACCCCAGGAAACTATGAAAATTTAGGGGTTTTCATTGGCTTATTAATCTATTTTAGAGTCTTGGTGTACATACTGCGTTCTTTTGACGTGTCGGCCTACCATACTGTAGGCCATATTGCACACCGGTTAAACGGCTCAACGTCTCATCCAAAAGGCGGTGGACGCTATTGTGACTTACATTTCAGCTGCAAGAGACAACGACTGAGTCATGTGACAGAATTAATGTCGAAAGGTTTGGCTGGGGCGGATCCAGAATTTTTTTTAAACGGGAGGGGGGAGGGAGGACAACATTTTCCAAATCAGCGTCTGTATTGCACGCATTGTATTAGCCTAGAGTCATTACATTGTTCGATTAACCTGATTAACTTACAATATCTAGTTAACAGGGAAAATGTTTTGATGTGAACCGTTCAATTATATCCATGTTATCTTGAATAACTAAATTCAGATAGTCTAGTTAATAACAAACCAAATGAGACTTGAATTTACTATGCGCTGTCCCAGTTCATGGAATGGAATCAATGCACATCTTAATCTAGGTAATTGGAAATGAACGCATACACTAGATTACCTTATCATATTTCAAGACTAGTAATTTAGATAACAAGTTCGATGCGAGTGATTTTTGTCCCTTTCAATTTAAAGTAATCAGGTTTCATTAATACAATAGTACTGTTGTAATTCCTGTAAGTCTGTCTAAAATATAATGGGATTACAATTTGCACATGGTTAATTTTGAATCAGAGACATTAATAACCGCTGCATTGCGTTAAAGACACTGATTTTGTTTTTGTTTACATCCCAGATTATATGTATCTGACCTTTCTATATGGAAACAAATTCCCATGCAGAGCTAGTTACATGAAACAAATTAATAATGATAATGATATAAATTTCACTGTTATTATTCGTAGTAGTACGGTACTAGAATACAAAAGGTCAGTTTGAGATTTTTTACTTCAATCCTGGAGACTTTAATCTGTTACCAAGCAAATGCATTACTTAAGATTATCAAAACCTATTGGATGTAATAATAATTCTAATAAAAAAAAGCACTGTATATTTTGAGATAGTGCTTGGTGAAATGATGTTGTCTTTTAATCAGTTAAATATATTGGCTGGCTCAATGCCAGCCAAAGTATTAGATAAATTGTTAGAGATAGAAAAATATTGTTATTGTTATTGTTAATACATTATTATTATTATTATTATTATTATTATTATTATTATTATTATTATTATTATTATTACTATTATTATTATTATTATTATTATTGTTTTTATTAGTATTATTATTATTATTGTTGTCATTATTATTATTATTGTTATTAATCTTATTATTAAAATAATAATATCAATAATAATTATAGGAATGCTTATGGTAATAATTATTATTTATTATTATTATTATTATTATTATTATTATTATTATTGTTATCCTTAATATTGTAATCGTTATTATTAATCATCCTTATTATTATTATCATTATCACTATCAATATTATTATTATTATTATTATTATAAAAATAATAATATCAATAATAATTATAGGAATGCTGATGGTAATAATAATAATTATTATTTATTTATTATTATTATTATTATTATTATTATTGTTATCCTTAATATTGTAATCGTTATTGTTAATTATTATCCTTATTATTATCATTATATCTATCAATATTATTATTGTTCTTTATTATTATTATTATTATTATTATTATTATTAACGTATAGGAAAGACGCCGAATAATTTATTTTTCTAAAATGTAGTCGTCAATATTACCGAATACGCAAAGAAAAAAAAAAACAAGATAAAGTGAGCAAAATCGATTTAATAGCAGACATGTTCCGTCATTTTGCTAACGACATCCTCGGTGCTTTTGATGAATTTACAGAAAGAAAAATGTCTAAGTATAATAGAACAGGTGTCAAAATTCTAATTTGCATCCTTAATCTTTTTTTATAACTGTAAATTTGTTCATCAGTAATATCATCGACTACACCACAAACACTTCGGCGCCGCCAAGGTCATGAACCGAGGAAGTTAAAAAAACTTACCAAGAAAACAGTAAAAGTATTAAAATACATCTTAGAAAAATACATTTACAAGCTTCTAGTAAACTGAGGAGGACTCTGGACTCCATTGGACAAAACAATACAAATTTAGCTTGGGCCTTTGCCCGTCCCCCCACCCCTAACACTTTCTGACTTCTGATAAGAGTAGGCAACAGTATGAGATCGTCATTTTGAAAGCGTCGCGCTCACGTCACAAAATGAATTCTACCGATTTATTACTGTCATTTTATTGAAATGCTGATGAAAAAACCTACAGCTACCTTAAGAAATCAGCATGCTTACTACTAATCTACAAACAGTGCGCCTACATTATTTAGATTTATCAATCGCTGAATTTCATACACCAAATGTTTTCATTCAGTCCGAGTTCAGATTGGCTGTAAATAACCGTTTCGTTGTATGGATATGCCCTTTAATTGGCTAGTGAATAATCTATGTATGGTGCGGACTTTAGGTAAACTACCGGTATTATAACGTAACTGCTTTGATCTGTGTTTTATTTTGAAATAACTTATTCGTTTGATCCTTGTAAATGATATAGCATTTAAATTTGAGGGTTTCATAGATTCCACAACCGAAGACAGGAGGTTTACCTTTATGAGTGTGGACCACATTTTACTACGACGAGACAAAAGCTTTATTAGTAATTTCAGAATAAAGATTCATTTTCACTTCTTCATCCCTTAGCTTCATATAAATAATAATAATAATGATAATAATAATAATAATAGGCCTAATAATAATAATAATAATAATAATAAAATAAAAATTACATTATTTGAAATCTACACTTTTAATTGCATCAATGGCACACGCTATACGTTCATAATAAAACAACAATCCAGACATAAAAGCACTAAAACGAAAAATACTATCTCAAGACGAAAAGCATTAAAAAGTAATACAATAAAATATGCAGTTAGGACTATACTTCAAAATCAATCACTCTTACTGTTCTATTTTCTCTATGCTTAAACTAATCATATAAAAACCATTAAAATATAGTTTAAAATACAAGCACTGCCGTAACTGATTGAAAATGTGTGGAAGAATTTAAATTTGAAGTGAAACTATAATTTGTACACTATAATGATAAACAATTGTTGATTATTAATTGTTTGAATAATTCAATGAATGAATGAATAAATGAGTAATGAATGAAATGAATGAATTAATGAACGAATGAATGAGTGAATGATTAATGAATGGAAAGAATGAATGAATGCACGAACGAATGAATGAATAAATAAATGAGGGATTAACGAATGAAACGAATGAATGAATCAATGAATGAATAGTAATGAAATGAATGAATGAATGAATGCACGACCGAACGAATGAGTCAATCAATAATCAATCAATCAATGAACGAACTAACGAACGAACGAACAAAACGAATAAATAAACAAATAAAGGAATGAAACTATCTCAATCAATTAATCAATCCCTCAGTAAGTCATTCAATCAATCATCCATCACAATCAGTCCAACCATCAATCAGTAAATTATATATTATTATTATTGGTCAGTCAATCAATCAATCAATCAATCAATCAAAATGAACACATTGACGACGGTGCAGCAGCATATCCGTAATCACTTTGCATTACCGGTACATATTTGCGACACGTTTTACCTTTGAAACGGCGGCACTCACAAACTGTGGTGCGGTCATACTAATTAAAAAATACAAACAAATGTTACAAATACAACAAATGAAACAAGATAATTGAAACCATACTTACAATAAATAATAAGGAACATAACCAAAACCAAAAGAAAGAGGAAAGAATAATACATTGTTATAATTAAAATTGAGTTAGTAAGCTAACATAAATTTTATACTTGACTGTTAAGATATAAAATTTTAGTATAATACATAAGTACAGAACATTTTGACTGAGTGCTTGAACATAAAATTACTCTGGTTCCTATAAATTCCATGTATCATAATCGTTAAAGTATAAGTTCATTTTTTTATTTTTTTTATATATATTTTTTTTAGAATGGTTGCCTCTTCTATTCTTAATTTATCAATTGCTTTACAGTTTACCACAAATGTTTGATATCTGGCTTCAATTTCATCATTCCACAGGGTGCAAATACCTGACACATCAGACCCGGGTTTTACAATGTGGATCGGTAGTGTGACCTTAGTTTAAATTTCAGACAGTCACCATCAAGTTATTGTTTTATCAAGCAAATATATTTTTTTTAAGTTGGGAGACTTTAATTTTGGATAAAATAATGTTACGAATTTGTGAAAGAATTTAACATTATTTTTTAGTAGTTCTATTTTGTTATGTAGGTACGTATGATATTCGATTGTTAGGATTGCCTATATACTGTATAGTTTAATAATTATTTACTTATTTCAATATTTAGTTCAATATCATATATCAAAATGGCATCGTCTGCCCAAAAAAAAAGCCCCTCCCATCTCAACCCATTTATTGTTACCCCCAAATTACTTTGAAGAAGTTTAACAAATTAGTTAATACAAATAGAAAGTACAAATTTGTCCGCGTATCCCTGTATCCCAAGTGGATTAGGAGACCACCACGCGTATAGATACTATCAAATGTTTATAATTTTGGAAATCCAGGAAGGCAAGATGTGAAGTTCTACCTTCAATCGACGTACTGACAAGACAAAATACTTTTTAATGTACAGATGTGATCTTCACATCGTTGATAAATACGGTGATACATCTTATCTTCTTTTTCAAGGAAACAAGAGGCTTATGCCTTGCAATTGCAGTACTCTGTAAATTTTTCAGACACAAGTATCGGATGTTAACACATACATTGGATTGGATACAGTATGTATAAAAAAAAAAAAGAATATGCTGCCCTCTCTAGGCTTAATAATCTTGCAACTTAAAAAAACACTCCGAACATGGTGTCAAAGTATGCACGTTTCGAAAATGTTGAGCAGAGTTTGTCCAACTGTTGTTGTGGTATTAGGTGCAACGGGAGCCGGAAAATCAAAACTGGCTCTTGATATAGCCACAAGAATGAATTCTGAAATTATAAGTGCTGATTCTATGCAGGTGCTCGTTTTATAGCTTTGCATTAGCCTGATTTAGCTAGGCTAGGCCCTCCTTTCATCTCTAGGCCTAGCCTAGGCCTAATGGGTACCTAATGAGGCAGTGGCCTCGCTAGCTAACTTTCAAGTTAAGGGCCTAGGCCCTAGCTAGTCAGCCTACTTCTAGCTAGAGCATTGAGCTGTAGGCCTGTAAAGAGAAAACGTTTCAACCTTGATGAATTTCGCTAGGTCTACTATTCTAGGCTAAAGGCTAGGCTTGCTAAACTTTCTGAAAAATGAATAATTAATTACATTAGGCCTAGGCCTAATCATATTTTTAAGCAGGGTTTGTAAGGCCACGAGAATGAAAGTTGTAGGTTTGCGTCCGAAAAATTTTGAAAACACATGAGGCATTTTTTCATTTTTCATTATTCATTATTTTTTTTATAAATGCTGTCCACAAGCCGCGGCATTGGTAATTTTACATTTATTCCCAAGAAACAATGCTTACAGTCATAAATGTACACTAGCCTCTATAAAACAGATCCTTTTCTACATTTAAGACCTCTTTAAACATACAAGATTTTCTATTGGTAAGAAAGATCGATTTGACCCGTAAATGACCTCAGCAGTGATCGGCGATCATGGTGCGATGTGGCCAGGCCTGCCTTCGCTCGGTGTTCGCGATGAGTGATCAGTGATGAATAGATCGTTTTTCTGTCTCTTTACGACTTAGAAAGTCCGTTTTTTAAAACGAAGTATATTTTGTTTTTAAATAATGAACTTTTCAAAATAATGAAAATTTTCGTGCGGTAGCTTTTTAGGCATGCAGGCGGTGGACGCAAACCTACAACTTTCATTCCCGTGGCCTAATGTAAGCCTAGCCCGCCCCCCGACCTCTGAAATAAAGAGCTTATCTAAATAGGCCTAGAGTATTAGAATAGGCCAGGCGTTAATAATAGGACAGTATAGTACAGTAAGTACCAGTTAACTGTTTCCATTTACTGTATGACTTATAGATTTTCCTGTTAAAAACATGAATTACTATACTTCTTTCTAAAACATAACGTGGCAGCTTATAATATTATAAATCTATAAGTCATACGGAAACTGAAACAGTACGTGTCTAGTACAGTACTACTACTATGTAGTACTACTTTCCTATCTAATTTATTTCAAATCCTCATTCTTGAAAGTGAAATTCTATATTTTGGAAATTTTGCATGAAATCAACCACGCTGTCATGATCGAGGTTGCTTCACCTATCACGATGTATTCCAACCATCATGAGGATATCTAAATGAGCATTTGTCATGACAGAACGCAAATTATTTTTAATTAGTCTCATTGAATTATCATTATTATTATTATTATTATTATTATTATTATTGTTATTGTTGTTGTGATGATGATGAAAAGTTAACACAAACAATATGGTGGCTAAACGAATATTACATGTAAATATTTTCTTTATTTGTTTGTTCCCCGACAAAATTTATCGTCTACCCTGGGGGGGGGGCTATGCTTCCCCGACGGGGGGCTATAGCCCCCACCCTCTGGCACCACCACTGTGTAAGCCACCCTCCTTTTATTATGATTTACAGAGTATCTGAGTGACTCTTGCCTCCTGAGCGACCACATCCCGTGTAAATGATCACCTCCCTTAATGTCCTTTCTCATATGTTCTCCCTATCTAATCAGTGCATTTGATGCCGGAAGCAACACATAAAGAAAATAATATAAAGCGATAATAAGATGAAGCCTACGCTTTCACATATCCAAGACAATGCTTTAATATAAAAATAAAGAAAATCTGGCAGGTGCACTAATTGGCTAAAAATAAAATTTAATCTTTATCCAAAATCCTCAATAATGGCAGCGGCAGGTTCATTAAACAAGGTATGTAAAAAGTCCTGCCTTAGATACTTATCTTTGTTAGTGAACATTCTGTTCGTTATTTTATTCGTTTTTTTTTTTAAATAGACAATTTATCCTCCTTTAATTTTTTCTCATAGGTTTATAAAGGTCTTGATATCATTACGAACAAAGTAACTGCTGAAGAACTGAAAGTGTGTCCTCATCATCTGATTGACTATGTGAACCCCCTTAGCCGATACACAGTTGTTGATTTCCGCAACAAAGCAGTGCCTATAATTGACAATATACTAAAAAATGATAAACTGGCAATTATCGTTGGTGGGACGAATTACTATATCGAAGCTCTATTGTGGAATATGCTTCTTGATCCTGTGGTGAGAAAAACTGTTTTAATCGATATTAATTATTTTTGACATTATTTTTTAATGGCAGAACAAATGAAGTCGTAATGAATTTTGATTAATATCTGAAAAATATTGATAGTAATGTAATGTAATGTAATGTACAGTAACCATCAAGATTAGTGACAATTTTGGTTTTCTTAGATGTATGTTCATACTGAATGTGGTGAAGACAAACCAAACCAATCACTGACTCGCAAATTGTGTTTTGGAGATAATGGCCGAATTACATGTACAGTATTGGTGGAAAAAAATCTATTTTACTGCACTAAACTAATTTTTCTATACATCAAGCTATGTTTTAGTTTTCCCCATTTTTGATGTTAAAATAACATTTTTAATGATTTTGTGATGGTCTCTGCCTGAGAAATCCCTGAAATCTAAACTTTGAAGGCTGATTTCTCAGATAATATTATATAAACAGCTGTGTGTTTAAAGTCATGTAACTTCATGAAGAAATGTCGGATTTAAATGATTCTTTTATTTTATAACTTTCATTTTACTGCTTAACCCTGTATTAATATAAAATCCATTTTACTGGTTTGGCTTGTCTTTGCTACATTATGCCTTAAATTTTTACCAATACATGTAATTTGTATACATGACTATTAATCTCATTTATATAAACCTTGCCTAGCAAACAGATTATTCTAGAGGGATGTATAGACTCATCACATGTCTTGAAATCCAAGTAAATAAACATTTTTTTTTTATTGTGTTTGCTCTTTAAAAATGCTATCATTCTATTATCATGTCTGCAATTTAATTTATTGTCTGTCTGTTGTTGAAACTGACAGAAATCATTACTGTATAGTTATGTTTGTCTCACAGGGAATATCAGCAGATGACCTCCTATTAGATAGAGATGAAAACAAGCACATACAAATTCGCAAACGATCTCCTCCAGACGATTTGGCACCAATTAAAAAACATCCGCGAATAGATTCACGCGAGACGAAGGAGACTGAATCAGATTTTTGTAAGAATTCTAAAGATGTTGATACAAGTCATGTTCATGAGGGTAATCATTCAGACTTGTGCATAGAGAAACAGGTTAATGATCTTTGGGGAAAAACAGGGGAAGAAGTAACAGCTACAGACAGTGTCAAAGATACAACTTCCAAAGATTTTAATAAAATTTCAATTGAAAATAAACTGTATTCTACCTCTCAAGAGACTGTTGAAAGTCCAAAGACAGGTGTTGCTATTTGTAACCCAATAGTTTCAAGTCCAGATTCAAGTTCAGGTGGCTCAATTTTAAATCGAGACGTCAAAATCTTAAACCAAGATCTTCATATAGATGTGGAGAAACTTTCTAGTGAAGAGTTGCATGACATATTAAAAGATGTTGATCCAGTAATGGCAAATAAACTGCATCCAAACAATCGTAGGAAAATAATCAGGTACAATGTTTATTAGTATTTATGTATTATTGATATTGTTAGTGTAATTTGTGTTAGTATATTGTTATTGTTGTTAATTACTATTTACATAATTATTTATTTATTTGTTTTCTTTCAGTACCCTCTCAATAATACCACTGCTCTTCCGAGGGTCCCTACACATTAAAACTTTTACAATAAAAACAACTTAACTACTCCTAACTAAAAGGATATTCTTTTTTTATTTTTAAACTACACTCAACACCGATATCATTATTATCATTGTTATAATTATGATCATCATTATTAATAATTATTAAATTACATTATTATAGAATTTATCACTAATGATACATAACAGTTTTTATATTATTTTTGGGTCCTACATGATACTGTATGATGCATGAACCTTTTTTTGTCTACCTTAAAAAAGTTTCCAATTCAAATGCACCCAAGAACACTTGCTAACCACTAATTACCCATGAAACCAGTGCTGGTGCATTCTAATAACACCTTGGAAACCATGCATTACCATTAAAGCCAGTGCCAGTGCATGTAGTCACACCTTGCAAACCACTGATTACCCTTAAAACCGGTGATGGTGCATCTTGTAACACCTTGCAACCTGTGCATTCTAATAACACCTTGGAAACCATGCATTACCCTTAAAGCCAGTGCCAGTGCATGTAGTAACACCTTGCAAACCACTGATTACCCTTAAAACCGGTGATGGTGCATCTTGTAACACCTTGCAACCTGTGCATTACCCATAAAAGTGGTGCTGGTGCATCTACTAAAACCCTTGCAAGCCACCCCTAAACCAGTGCTGGTGCCTTTAATAACATCTTGCAAACCACCCATTACCCTTAAAACCAGTGCCAATGCATCTACTAAACACTCATTACCCATAAAACCAGTGCTGGTGCATCTACTATAATACCCCTGCAAAGCATGCATCATTCATGAAATCATTGCCAGTGCCTCTAGTAAGAACTTGCAAACTATATACAGATAGAAATAACATATTCAGCAGTTGCATGAGTTTGCTGAAATCTGATAGTCTTTTAGGTTAAAATAAACATTAAAATGTTTCTTTAGTAGATTGTGAATTTAGAATTGTCGGTTCTCAGTCGTTAAATATTAATATTATGTATGAATTTCATGAAAATTCTGTTACACTGCTTTATAAAATAGATTCATGAATATCAAAACAATATTAGTCAAACTAAAAGGGTAGGTGATATGATTTAGCATGCTTTCTGTAAGCTAGCATTCAGAAAGATAGTTTAAATTCTTTAGTTCTAACTAGTCGAAGTTCTCATTTTTCATTTCATTTATTTCACCAATTTAAAAAAAAAGCATACAAAAGGACAAAAAGGAGACAGCAATATCCTTGTCGGTGGCAGGACAAACAGAAAGCAAACTTAATTTCTGTAGTTTTTCCCCCGACAAGGGTATGAAAGCAACATTTAAAACATTAAAAAAATAAATATCTATTCTGTTGTGATTATTATTTCAAACTTTATTAGTTTGTTTTCAGGAAATGTACTCTGTTATGTTGGCATTACAGCATCTCCATCCTCAGATATGTTTATAATGAAATACAGTAAATAATAAAACTTAAAAGCATACCATCATCATTGTCATCATCATTGTCATCATCATCTATAATTATTAATACAGTATTATTATTGTTATTGGCTGTTAACATTGTGATTATTTTTATTATGTATATTATTTGCTGTTAATGTTACATTAACTTTTATTTCACTAACCGATGGAAATGCTATTGTTTTTGTTCAGAATTTTTGGCTTTTCCCACGACAGTAGCGTTGAATTGTTTTTCATGTAGTTTTTTCAGTGACTTTTATGTTCTTATTACAGGTATGTCAATAAAGAAAAACCATGCGTTCTGTTTTATCTGAAACAACTGTAATTGTTGTCTTAGGTTTTATAAACAGTCATAAGTCTTGATTTTTATAATTCATCTATCCTGTTTTCCAGTGTGTTTTCACAGTTTTTTTACCTGGGTTGAAAGTGGTAATTTTAGTGGTTCGACTTTCTTCAAACTTGGTCCAAGTGCAGTGTGTGACTTGCTTATTGGTTGGAATTTTACACATACCCTGCACATAGCACCCAAGTTCCATTCTTGGTAGCGCCATTTTTGTTATGTGTTTTCTTGTAAATTCATAATTTCACTACTTCATTTGGCAAACAGGCATGTCGTATCTAGTTTTTTTTTTTTTTTTTTTTTTTCATGATTGAACAAACATTCACATGAAAGCAAAGCTTAACATGTGATAAAAAATTACAAATTACACAACTGTTCAAGTTGATGCCAAATGGAATTGTACAATTAATGTGAGCTGTATTACTGTCAGGAAGCTTTGAATGCCAGGTGGATTAAACTAAACAATAAAATCAATGCAATAAAATTACATAAATGTGTCTAACTTTTGTACATTTCATTTCATTCTGGTTTATTCAAGAATTATGATTTGGTAGTAAAACACTGAATTACATCAAAATTTTAACATTACATAACATTTAAAACTATTATAATGTATGTAAAATTAGAAAAAGCAATAGAAGTTAATGACATACATCTTAAACAAGAAAAAATATCAAGGCACTGTATAAGCATCGAGCTTAAAAATAAATTTTGAAAGGAAATCAGTTAAGCTTTGTTGGTTCTTCTCTAAGTGTCATATCTATAGACTTCAGTGATCATGTTGTTCTACAACCCTCTGTTTCTAACCTTCTCCATTAGCACTACTCAACTCACTCTGTAATTGTTGTCTTAGGTTTTATAAACAATCATAAGTTTTGATATTTATAATTCATCTATCCTGTTTTCCAGTGTGTTTTCACAGTTTTTTTGCCTGGGTTGAAAGTGGTAATTTTAGTGGTTCGACCTTCTTCAAACTTGGTCCAAGTGCAGTGTGTGACTTGCTTATTGGTTGGAATTTTACACATACCCTGCACATAGCACCCAAGTTCCATTCTTGGTAGCGCCATTTTTTTTATGTGTTTTCTTGTAAATTCATAATTTCACTACTTCATTTGGCAAACAGGCATGATGTATCTAGTTTTTTTTTTGGTTTTTTTTCATGATTGAACAAAACTCACATGAAAGCAAAGCTTAACATGTGATAAAAAATTACAAATTACACAACTGTTCAAGTTGATGCCAAATGGAATTGTACAATTAATGTGAGCTGTATTACTGTCAGGAAGCTTTGAATGCCAGGTGGATTAAACTAAACAATAAAATCAATGCAATAAAATTACATAAATGTGTCTAACTTTTGTACATTTCATTTCATTCTGGTTTATTCAAGAATTATGATTTGGTAGTAAAACACTGAATTACATCAAAATTTTAACATTACATAACATTTAAAACTATTATAATGTATGTAAAATTAGAAAAAGCAATAGAAGTTAATGACATACATCTTAAACAAGAAAAAATATCAAGGCACTGTATAAGCATCGAGCTTAAAAATAAATTTTGAAAGGAAATCAGTTAAGCTTTGTTGGTTCTTCTCTAAGTGTCATATCTATAGACTTCAGTGATCATGTTGTTCTACAACCCTCTGTTTCTAACCTTCTCCATTAGCACTACTCAACTCACTGTCATTTACTCCTGTCTCTCTTCATTTCAGAGGACTGTTCATCCAAAGTATTCCCATCCTTTACTCATTATTTTATTATAGTTATCATTACAGTTATCATTATCTTTAATATCATTATCATCATATTATTTGTGGTTACTCTACTTAAAAACAGGAGCAGGCACAAATTGGCAAAAAAGATACATTTTCATATAACAATGTTTTGAAAAATTTACAATCTTCATAGAATTTTTCGTTGTTCATTTTGTTGTTACAGTATTTGTTAAACTCTGTTGTTCATTCTTGTTTCATTCATTATAGAAGTTTAAAAGTTATGGAGCAACATCACATTCCACACAGTCAGCTGATAGCCAGGCAGCAGGCAACAGAAGGGGGAGGTCCACTTGGTGGACCATTACGCTATCCCAATGTTTGTATATTTTGGGTACAGTCTAACCAAACAGGTAAGCATAAGAGACACTTATCACATTTCTTTAAAATGATCATTTTGTAATATAATAAACAAGAAACATATATTTTTTATACATGATATGGAAAAAGTCAGCCTTAAAGTTAAACCAACCTGTATAAATAATAGGACTAGAATTATAGAATATGCACAGTTAACACTTTTATAATAAGAAAAAAAACTTAACTATTACATAATCATTTCCCTTTGCATTGGATACTTATATTACTTTATATTTTGAAAGTTCTTGATGAAAGACTTAATAAGCGTGTTGACAGCATGATGGATCGTGGTCTCCTACAGGAATTGTCTGACTTCCATGTGGAATACAATCAACAGAGAATACAAGGAAACCATTTAAAGTGAGTATAATGCATAAGGAATTTGCAAATAATGGTACAATCAGTAAAAATTAATTATTATTTTATTAAGGCAAGACATTTTTTATACCTTATATATTATATTATATACCTCGCAAACTAATTTTTTAAAGATTGTCAGAGGAGAGTGGAAATAAAATAAAGAAATTTGTTTTCTTATTTAGCAAATGTTTTTTTGCCAAAAACATCCAGATGGAGGAGAAAATAAAAATGAAAAATTTTATTGGTGAATGTAAATGGTGTAGTAATCTGATGGTTAAATGCTTTAAATTGATTTTTGGAGATTTCGTGGCTGCGGCAGGCGTAATAAGAATGAAGAAAAAACTATATTTTTTTCAGAAATTTTCAATTTTTTGTGGCAGCAGGTGCATTAATTGGCCAAAAATGAAATTGTATTTTTGTATCAATATTATTGGCAGGCGGTGGGTTCACTAAACAAGGTATAAAAAAAGTCTCGCCTAATATTATTCAAACAGAAGGGACACTTCTAAGACTAGTTAAGTACTGTATTTATTTTTCACTCGAAAAAGTGTATTGTGGTACAAAAATGGTATTTTGGAAGTCACATACTGTAAGTTCTTGGATTCGATGTCAAATTTATGAAACGTGATAGGCTCGGCACATTGACCCCTGGTGGTTAGTGCCTAAAGTTCTCTAAAAACACATAAAATATAATAATGAGCGATTATCATTGTTATATAATTTTCTATACCAATTTTGAGAACCAAGGAGCCATTGATTTATGAAAATAAATACCTAAAGACCCTCGTGGGACTGAGGACAATTTTTGAGGGACATAATGGTTCCAAAGCGTATATTTTCTATAGTGTCTAAAATATAATTGCCAATAATTGCTTTTTAAGTCAATCACCTTTTTTACTGTATATATTTAATCAAATATTTTACTGGTCTGTAAGGAATGACAATAACAAAGATGATGTTGCTGAATGAAAATTGGTTTGATTTAGTTTTAAAATTGATACTATAGTACTGTAGTATATCAATAGTAATGATGATTGGCGTTATGCTCCAACTCTTTCTGAATTCAAATTTTTTCTTAAAACTCACCTTTTTTCATAGTTCATACTTTTAAGCGCTGTGAGACTCCGGTAAAGAGCGCTATATAAATGCTTAAATATTATTATTATTATTGTTATTATTATTATTATTATTTAATAATGCTATACGCTTGATAATAATAGTGATTATTATTATTATAAGTGAATTTATATAGTGTCATTTTAATCAACCTAGCTGCAGTATTAATTGTTTTATGCATGTTAATGGTAGAAAAAACGAGTTTTTGGCAGTTTCTTTATGAAGCAACATACAAATCTTTAATGTTTGTGGGGAGTGCATTTCTAAGTGTTGGTGCAGCAAAAGAAAATGATTTATGGCCAATTGTTTTGGAGGGAACAGGGTGGGTGATGATATAACAATCACTCTGGGAAACTGTATAATTATGTTGAAGCACCATTTCCCACCACCTAAAGGTGCCGTAATCATTAAGTTTCATACCTCAGCACCAAACATGGTAGGGCTAGGGTGGTATAGACCCTTCATCTTTGAAAGACCCTTCCAGATCCCCTTTATTTTATATTCCTGCATCCATCACTGATACTGTAATATGGCTGCTTCATTTGCATTCTGTCTTTGGTGTTCAATTTGTTTTTCTTTGTTGATATAGATACAACATACAAGACCTTTTATTTGTCATCATGTAAAAAACATACAAAGAATTGTTGGTTGTAGAGCTTTTCAAATTGAAAAACCTTAACATAGATAATAATAATTAAAAGACAATCAATCGCATATTTGTCTATAATGAATCTTAATATTGTTTTTCTCGTGCAGAGGTGAGCTATATTCACATGGAATATTCCAGTCAATAGGTTTCAAAGAGTTTCATGATTACCTGATACTGTCAGAAGAGGAGAGGGAAACAGAAAGGGGACGGGAACTAAAAGAACTAGGGATTGAGAAACTCAAACAGGTGACACGCAAGTATGCGCGAAAGCAGTTACGCTGGATCAACAACCGATTTCTAAAGAGTTAGTTTGATTAAATTGAAAATCATTTTATTTTGTTGTTTAAATATAATATTATAGGCCTATCTTTTGAAATTTTCTTTATGTACTAAGCCAACAGTAAAATTTCTTCTTTCCACTTCAGTTTCGACCAACTTTATTGATCTTCAGATGAATGACCTAATCACAGTTAGATAATTTATTTTCAGATGAATGACCTAATCTCAGTTAGATCATTTGGTTATCGGCTGATGTCATCCAATGATGTGTGCCCCTGTTCCCTGGTTTAGTGTAGAAGGTCATCGTAAATATGCGATAGCTCGTAGGCTCCTTCATTTTTATTCATGTTGTTTCTTTTCCTTCTAAAGAAAATTCGTCTAAAATATATATCAGAAGCCCAATGAAACTATTTGAACAAGATAGTATATCATTATAAAAGTCTGAAAAAAACCTTTAAATATTTATGTATGTATGAATCATGCATAATTCAAAATAAAAAGGTAATCTTACAAATGATTTCACTCTGATGCCCTAGAAAATTTTTCCTATTTTGGTTCTTATAGGGCCTGGCGTGAACGTGCCACCTATATATGGTTTGGATGCATCTGACCCAACAAACTGGAATGAGATGGTAGTAGATCCAGCAGTGAGCATTCTTAGTGATGTAATCAGAGTATGTATTTTACAAACTTTGTTTAACATTGTTTATTCTTAGCCATTAAGACCCTCTTATAGTTATTGATTTAGTGTCGGTCGCGACCCTGAAAAGGCTTAACCGACTATATAACAACATGAATGTATCGTCAGATTTTACAAACTGTTTTTAATTTAATTTTTTTAAATTTATTTATTTTTGGAATGTTTGCTTTGAATTTAATCAGTGGTAAAGATGCTTACCGACCAATTCCAGAATATTGGCTTTACGTGGTTAAAAGCAACTTGATCACTGAACTCGAAATGAGTTTGTAGAGCATAATTTCCATCCGATACAGTTTTGTTGCTTACTGTTGAAATATATACATTTGCAAAGGGCTACTGTACATGAGGAGCTGCTGTAATAATAAAAAAACAAAATAATGAAAAATACAAAATTCTTCAAAGTATTCGAGGTGTGGATACAGTAATATTACTCATTAAATTGTAGGGTAGGCAGTTTTGGCACAGTGGATTCTGTACTGGTTATTGAACTTGATCAGTTCAAACCACACGCTGACCAATTTTGGCCGGCCGTACTTAGATACCCCAGCTTGCCTTGTTGACAGGCCATGAAGTGGCTCAGGCTATTGTTCAGCATTGTTCAAACAGCTAAGGTTTAAAAATTTTTAATTAAAAAATATATAATAATAATAATAATCAATCTGGATGTGTCTGTACAGTATCAGTTCACCATATTGTATCCAAATGCATTTATGTGTTTGTCTGCCTCAGTATTTCTCAGACTTTCAAAACACTGACGCTTTGTATTCACCTTTTTTTTTAATTTATTAGTAGCTTTACCATGCTATATGCATTTACTAAGTGAATACTAATTAATGGTGATGGATTGGTATCATTCGAATCCCATCTTGCCAATACTGGAGTTTGTATCCATGGGCAATCTACTTATCTATCTTCTTTAAGTATACATGGTTGCAAGTTAGGGTTTGCTCTAAGGATAATTTCTAGGATATTTCATCATGATAATGATATTGGTAAATAATAATAATAATAATAATAATAATAAAAATAATATAAGTCTTATATAGCGTATAATAAAATGAATTTGCCTGTATGCACTTCACATGAACAAAAAGAAAAATAACCATAATTCTACAGTAATGCTGCAAAGAAAGCTAACAAAGAAAATGGGGAAAAAAATCATTTTCGCTGCTCCATTTTTCAGCACTTCAACATAATTGTTAAAGGCTTGCTGGGACAGTACTCACAGAGGCTCAAGTGAAAATGGCATCTACATGGCTGAAAATGACATTTACTGGCTTACCGTTGTTCCTCTTAACTCAAAGTTTGCTAGATCTTGTGGGGTGGGGTTGTACTCGGGGAATCCACTTATCACAAGGAACTTGACTACTATCCTTTTTTGAAAACTGACAGCATAGATGCAATCATTTTCAGGAATGGCCAACCAAAAGGCAATCTTTCAGCACTGCATGACAATTCAAGGCCACTTTTTGATTTGTAGAAGTCAGCTAAGCTACAGTACTCATTCAAATCATACCCTGGGCTTTTGCCCAAGAAAGTCTTGTATGTTATATTGTGTGTAATGTAGGGAGTGGGCTTATTTCCGAGGAACTATGGTATAGTTCATCCGATAATGTTTCCAGCTAAAGTGTGCTTTGCCAAGCCTCATCATCATTTACATGTTTAACCCGTTATCTACACTTGGAGCGATACTTAACCTTCTACACAATTTGTTAAAAAGCTATTAATTTTTGCTAATTTACCGATTGTATACCACTGAAAGGCTACTAACCAGCTAATTTTAGAAGATAGGATCGGTGTTATTTAAACGTCTGTAATTAATGACTAAAATTTTGTTTCGTATTATGATTTTCTAATGAATAATAAATATATGGAAATGGCAATATAGTGCCTTGCAGATTTAAAAATTTTCTCAAGGAAAATGGAAAAAAATAGAAAACTAACCCATAAACTATCCGAAAACTAACCTGTAAAAATTGACCATTATTAATCAAATCGTCGCTCACATACGAACTAACACAATCAAAATACATTGTGTTAGTTCGTGAAATCAAGAAAGCGCGTCAAAATATGCGCTGTTGTTAAGGACTTTTTGTGTGGTAAAGAATACAAAATTGCTTGACAACCAATACGCGCTCATTTTGACGCTCTACTTTGATTTCACGAACTTAACACAACCTACTTTGATTGTGTTAGTTTGTGATGTGAGCGACGAAATTAGGAATGAACCAAGTACAACTGCACCGTTGAGCAATTTGAAATATGTAGCCGGCTGGAACAGTACTCACAAATGCTCTAGTGGTACTAGCAACTAATCTAACCTATACAAAGTAGATAATCCAAATACGGTAGAATCCCTTCTTTGGGACACCCCTATTAAGCAGGACACCCCTATTAAGGGGACACACCTCTAAGAGAATATTTGTTTTGGTCCTGAAGATGTCCCCTTAATAGGGGATCCACTGTAATCCACTTTTGGAGCTCAATACTGAGAGTATATAACTTTATGACAGAATTTGTTGGTAATTTCTCCTTATTAAAGGGTACAGTGCCAACTGTGGAACCATTAGCATGTGAGAAGAGGTCGGAAGATGAGCAAGAAATCACTTTTGTATGTAGTGTGTGCAACGATCGTATCATTGTTGGAAAGCAACAATGGAAAGGTTAGTTAATTTCTTACATAATGTGATATATTCTAAATAGTATTCTCAAATATAAGCACAGTGTACTCAATGTAGTAATTAATTAACACAGGTAATCACCACTAATAAAGCAGTCCACACTCATGAGCAATGTGATTTTCTACATTATTATCACAATTTCATATCAATTGTAACAAACATGATTAACATCACTACAGTATATGTATATATCTTTTTATTAATTATATTACTGTACTAATTATTTAAAAAAATACATTACAGTAAAAAGTATACGCATACCTTAACTCAGTTCTATTGTCAACTGATGGATTCCAGCACTCAAACCTGCCGCACCCAATTCTGAACTAATTACCATACAGCTATAGCACGCAGGATGAATATTTCACATCCAGACGTTTATTTTAAAGTTTGAATCCCGCATTATTATTAATCATTATATGTACTACTTTATTGTTTATCATGTTTTCTGATACTGCATGTTTACTCTAAAATTTAAAACAGAAAATTGTTTATAGGATTGGCTATATAATACAGTGCATAACTATGTCCACATTATAGCTACAGATTTGCATCTTACAGACAGCTTGTCAGTTATACTTTACAGTGTATAACATTTTGAATATGAAAGCATGTGACACAATAGTAAATCTTTATGTTTTTTAATCAAAATGTCAAAGGTCAGAGTGTTGAGGCTGGCTACCAGTTTATTAGCTTTCCAAGGCACTTTAACAGCATTGCTTTTCCTCCCGGGTGTTTGTACTTTGTATATTCAGTTGAAAAGTGCACTGATACAGAGAGCTGAGTAAAGATAAAGAGGGGTAATAAAGTAAAATGCATATTCAAATTCAAATTTATTTGTCAATTTACGAACATACAAAGATACAATATAGTAAACATCTAATATAAAATATACAGATTTAATAACAAAAGGAAATATTTAAAAAAAATGACATCAAAATATACAACGGACGAAATAAAAAAAAACAACAAAATATTATTTCGTACTAAAGCAGAGCATAACAATCCCCTAAGGATATTACATGGATAGACAATGCACTATAGAAGTTTGGCATCTCATTATTATTTATGGTACAGTAGTACAATATAGGTTAACCTATTAATCATGGTAATAAAATCGAAATTTACATTAAATGGTTTAAGGTAATGCAAACTGTAAAACGTAAAGGTAAACACCTTGTATTTCACATGTAAGAACATATTTAAAGTTCTCTGGACCAAGTGTCAAAGATAAAACAAAACAAGAGGAAGAGGATATGGGTATGAGAAAAGAGATACTTATACCCCTGGTTATACGCTATTCACACTAGAGTTTGTGATTGGTTGTAGCAATTGCAACCAATCACATCTAATCACAGTTTACCCATCCATAAAAAGATATATAACTGAAGTTTGAAACTAAGTATGTATTATTTTCAGCTATATTTAAAATAATTGAAGGTTAATTCATGATCAGTTACTTTTATATCCCAATGAAAAATCTCATTTTTATAATCAATCTGGCTTCAGTCCACCTTTAATAGACTATTGTTTGATTCATCTACCTATGAAGTAACACTGGGTAAAGGTGAACTAACTCAGATAGTACAGTATTAGATACACAAGATATCTGACATTAATGCTATGGTGCTGTGCCAAAAAAATAATTTTAGTAATCCAACAGAAATAGGTTTTGTTTGTTTGCAAAAATTGTTTTTTGAACAGAATATTTTTCTTCAACAGCCAGCAGAAATAGGTTTGATATGTCATTTTTACATTTTAATTTCTTTGTGTTAAAAAAAGGCCTACCTACTATTGCATTAAATGTTGTCGATAGAAACACTTACTTTACTTATTAGTACAGTATGCCTACTCCAGATTTGATCTTAAAAAGCTTGATCAAAATTTGGGTGGTGATTTCAGATATTAAAGTATTGCATTGCGAGTCCCAAGTTCTGATGAGCTGTTTTTCTGTATTTGGTCATACCACATGTGTGGCCATTCTACCTGGATTACTGCCCTGTTGTGTTGGTCTTACCACCCTGTCGTGCCAATTGTCATAGCCTTCCTGTTGTTCAGAGTCGTCCTTCATGATTACAGGAGTCCCAAGTTTCCCGCAAGGTATAGAGTACTACAGTGTTACGTCACGATACCATGTGATACTGCTCTGATGCTATCATTGCAAAAAGCGTTCAACTGGACGCCATTTTCTTCACTGACACACCATTGATTCCAATTTCTAACGTAATTATTAAGATGTTTTTATCTTACTTTTTCTTTGTAAATTTTAATTGATGATTAAATGTGTGTTCGATAACTAATATAATGCGAGCTTTTGTGTTTTTACTACATTTTGATGGTAAAATATTAGATTTTAAAATGCCTATTTCAGAAAGCCTATGAAGTCATTCAGGTGTAATGAACAGTAACCAACGTCTGTTGACAACAGAGAGCGCCACCTGGCGTCGTGACAACACGACTGTGGTACTCTATGTGGTCAACATGCCTTTGTTTTCCAAGACTCCTTTACATGGAATTCCTTGCCGCTTTCTGTTCGCGTTCTATCTAATTTGCTTTCTTTCAAGAAAAATCTTAAAACCTATCTATTACAGGAATGTTAACTTGCTTTATTTCCTCACTTAACGCCTTTGATGAGTTTTTAAATTGGCGTTATATAAATATTTATTATAATTATTACTGGGAGTCTCCCGGAAGTCAGGAAGGCCACACTTTTGCGAGCCAACAAGAAACTCCCGAAAAAATTATCTTCCGCAAATTTACTATATTTGTATGTTTTTACTATACAATTGTCGCCCAGATGTTAGTGCCGATAAGTATCACAGTGTACAGCAAAATAAAATTAGTGTGTTTAAAAGAAAGCTCATTTTAAACAGATCTCCCAGAAGTGGCTTCTTGCTGCTTTGGACCCTCTGATTTTTATATAATTATTTTTTCAGTAATGTGACAATTTTTTTCTTGTTTTCATTTTCAGCACATTTGAAATCTCGAGGCCATTTGAAGAGGGCAAGGAAGGTCCGGAAGTACAAGGAAGAACTTGGAAGTTGATGAAAAGAGGTTTTACTGAGCTACTGTACAAAAGCACATTGTATATTTTCTTTTATTATATGCGTGACATTGAATTCCGTCCTGATTCTGTTTGGCAGTTACAAGCTAGTGGTCTAATCCTGTGTAAGTGCTGGGAAGCTTTTAGCATTTGTGAAGCAATTTTTCCAATTGTTTTTAATCATGATGTATCTTTTGTGTATTTTTTTTTTTTTGTCTGAATACTGCAGTCATCTGCCAACTCTTCTTCTTTTGCTTGAGCATGGTATTTTTATATTAAATAAGGATCTGACTTTACCAAAAGTTGGGTAGTTTTTTTCATCATCAAGTTACAGTAGCTGTAAGTAAGCGCCAGTGAGGTGCAGGGTGGCTTAAGGTCGGCAACATTTAGTCCAGTGTTTTATATCCTTCAATTCCGTGCTTCCGATTAGCCACCAGTTTTCGACACTGGTTGCTATTAGTATGATTTTTAAGATTTTAGTAATGTAGTTTTTGTTGGAGGCTTGTAATGCTTGACTTGTAAAGAGTACAAACGATATTATTTGTAATACTCAAAAAATAGCTCATCTGTGTTCGAATGTAATAAAAGTTGAAGCTTTTGATCACAACACAACAAAATTTCCTACCGTGAAATTTTTAACCGTATATCACTTTCTTCCTCAACACACTGACTGGAATGTGATGTGAAAGCTACACCGATTCAGGGCACGTGATCTTACGAACATGTGACTCTAAAATCGGATCGTAGATCTTTGGTAGCTTGTGTCTGTCTCGGTTCAGCGTTGGTATGAACCTAGAGGTTATATTATTTGTGTCAATAAACTCAACTTTATTGTCTGACAAAGGAAATCTGAGAATAATTTCATTGCATAAGAATGGTACAAACAACTTTACTTAATTACATTACATTGCATGGAGATAGAGATTGGAGGTGAATGCATATGCTGTAGACAAAAAGATATAAGAAGTTTGCATGTAAAATCAATTGCATATTATACTTCATGAGAATGCCTCCACATGGAGTTTAAACAACAGGATATAATTTGTGCAGACATGAAACCATTTTGAAATTCAAATTAACAAATTTTCATTTCTGTTATGCCAAGAATGGATAATAATAGAAACAGGATGCTTCAAACCTTATCAAGCCTCCTATACTAATGGATATTTTTTTAATTAAACAAGGCCATCTGAAATGTTTGAGTTATATTACCAATAATGAATTCAACAGTAATTTATTAAAGATGTCCGTCATTGTGTTGTTTGCCTACTTTTTATATTAAAGTTGTTAGCTTTTTAATTGAAAATGCTATATTACAATTCTCATAAAAAGCCAGCTACTGTAATAATATTAAGAATAATATAGTGAAACTTTTAGATATCATTCTGTTAAACATTCGATATAAATTTGCTTCTTGTACTTAATCCTTCATAATAAGGTTACACTTGCCTAAAGTCAACTTTGCCTAACTCGAATAATTTCTAAGTCGATCACATTTTACATGAAAATTGTTGTGTTTTCCATTATTTAACAATCTTTCAATGCCATTTTGAATTCGAAGGCGAGGCAATATCAACTGTTATTTTTTATTTTCATTAAAAAATTTTTATATATTTGATTGAGTACCCAGAAAAAAAAGATTTCTATCTAGGTCAATTGAATTATTATTTATTTTTTATTGTTTTTTTTTTTCTAATTTTATATTTGTAGTTTAAAAGGGAACTAGAAAGATGATTTTTTTTAGAAGGGATTTTAGATAATTATGTCATTAGCAATAAAATCAACCTTAAAATCGTTTTTTTGGCAATTTTTTATGAAGTTATAGGCCATTATGATTTTCCCTCCTTAGCAGCGTGACGTCAGTGTAAGGTACTGTATATTTTAAAGTTGACTCTATTACTAGTGACATATCAAAAATCCCCTCTAGAAAAAAAAATCATATTTCTAGTTCCTTTTTAAGGTAAATAGTACATAATGGGTCATTTGCATGGTTTATATACTGTCTCTTATACACATCTAGATGTGTATAAGAGACAGGATCAATATACTCAATAGAAAAAAAAAACCCTTTATCATAAAAAACCAAATGCTAACATTATGTAAGTGTGTAGTGATTCTTTTATTCGTAACCTAATTTCACTGTTGTCCTGGTCAATGATGTTGAAGCAAGTGGTATTAGTTTATGTTTTGCATTTTTTATTTTCATTTAGATGTTTTAAAATGTGTGAATTTTTGTCTTTGCCAAGGTGTTCGTCAATCCTAGTACTCAAGTGTT